GCTGGCGTGGTGGCGTGTGCCTGCAATCTCAGCTACTCAGGAGGCTGAGGCAGGAGAATCGCTTGAACCTGGGAGGCAGAAGTTGCAGTGAGCCAAGTTCACGCCATTGCACTCCAGCCTGGGCAACAAGAGTGAAACTCTGTTTCAAAAAAAAGAAAGAAAGGAAGAAGAAAGAAAGAAAATTACAGCTGTACAATATTAAGCATTCCTAATCATGAATATGCAATGTTTTTCCACCAAGTCTTCCTTGATTCAGTAAAGTTGTTTAAATTTTTGCATTAAGATCATGAATTTATTTTGTTAGTTTTATTATTAAGCATCTTATTTTTTGCTGTCATTTTCAGAGTTACATTTGAAAACTATTTCTGACTGATGTAGAGAGTGCAGTTGATTTTTTTTGCTCACCTTAAGTTAAGGAACCTTGTTTCATTCTCACCGTTTCTAATAATTTGTGAAGTCTTTTGGGCTTTCTACATAGACTTTCTTCATTTTCTGCAAATAATTATAGTTTTCAGTCTTCTCCATTCTTAAAACTTACATTCTGTTTCTTACTGAGTTGACTGGCTGCAACTTGCAGTCCCACGTGGAACGTAAGTGGTGTCTCTTTTGTTGTTTGAGACGGGGTCTCACTCTGTCACTCAGGCTGGAGTGCAGTGGCGCTATATCGGCTCACTGCACCTTCCATCTCCCAGGCTCAAGTGATCCTCCCACCTCAGCCTCCTGAATAGCTGGGACTATACAGGGAATATACAGGAGCATGGCACCAGCCTGACTAATTTTTAGTACATGATTTTTATCAGATTAATGAAACTTCCTTTTACATACATATACATATTTTTCTAAGAGTTTTTTCTTTTTAAATAAGAAAGGTTTTAAATGTGTTAAATGCAATTTCTGAGTATATTGAGGTAATCGTGTGTGTGTACTTTAATTTTTTAATTTTTAAAACTTTTTTTGTAGATTTTGCTACTAAAATTTTATTTTAAAAATTCAGTTTTAATTTTTGCGGGCACATAAGTGTATATATTTATGGGGGACAGGAGATATTTTGATACAAGCATGCAATGCGTAATCATCACATCATGGGAAATGGGGTACTCATCCCCTCAAGCTTTTCTCCTTTGTGTTACAAATAATCTAATTATACCCTTTTAGTTATTTTTAAATGTAAAATTAAATTATTATTGATTATAGTTACCTTGTTGTGCTATCAAATACTTGGTCTTATTCATTCTTTCTAATTTTTTTTTGTACCCATTAACCATTCTACCTCCCAACCTCCTGCTTCCCCACTACCCTTCTTACCCTCTGGTAATCATCCTTTTACTCTCTGTCTCCATGAGTTTAATTAGTTTGATTTTTAGATCCCACAAATCAATGAGAACATACAATTTTTGTCTTTCTGTGCCTGACTTAACATTAGCGATCTCCGGTTCCATCCATGTTGTTGCAAATGACAGGATCTCATTATTTTTTTGTGGCTGAATGAGTACTCCATTGTGCATAAGTACCACCATTTTCTTTATCCATTCATTTGTTGATGGACATTTACGTTGCTTCCAAATCTTGGCTATTGTGAATAGTGTTGCAGTTACTATGGGAATGCAGGTATGTTTTTGATATAATGATTTTCTTTTTGGGGGGCACATACACAATAGTGGGGTTGCTGGATCATATGGTAGCTCCATTTTTAGTTTTTGGAGAAGACTCCAAACTGTTCTCTATAGTGGTTGTACTAATTTACAGTCCCACCAACAGTGTACAAAGGTTCCCTTTTCTTCACATCTTCACCAGCATTTGTTATTACCTGTCTTGGTAGGATAAAAGCCACCTTAACTGGGGTAAGATGATCATCTCATTGCAGTTTTGGTTTGCATTTCTCTGATGCTCAATGATGTTGAGCACCTTTTCATATGTCTGCTGCCATTTGTATGTGTTTACTTTTTAAAAAAATTGTTGTCTGAGTGCAGCAGCTCATGCCTATAATCCCAGGACGATTGCTTGAGCCCAGGAGGTCAAGACCAGCCTGGGCAACATAGTGAGACCTCATCTCCACCCACCCCCCACCCACGAAAAAAAAAAAGGAAAAGAAAGAAAGAAAAAAATTAGCCAGGTGCAGTGAAGCACACCTGTGGTCCCAGCTTCTCAAGAGGCTAAGGTGGGAGGATTGCTTGTGCCTTGGAGATTGAGACTTCAGTAAACCATGATCATGTCACTGCAATCCAGTTTGGAGGACAGAGCAAGACCCTTTTAAAAAAAAAAAATTGTTAATGTACTAAACTGACAGATTCTTTTTTTTTTTTTGAGATGAAGTCTTGCTCTGTCATCTGGGCTGGAGTGCAAGTGGCATGATCTTGGCTCATTGCAGCCTCTGTCTTTGGGGTTCAAGTGATTCCTGTCTCAGCCTCCGAAATAGCTGGGACTATAGGTGCAGGCCACCATGCTCGGGTAATTGTTGTATTTTTAGTAGAGATGGAGTTTCCCCATGTTGGCCAGGCTAGTCTCAAACTCCTGACCTCAGGTGATCCACCCCCCACCTCGGCCTGCCAAAGTGCTGGGATTACAGGTGTGAGCCATGGCCTGTACTAGGTAAACAGATTCTTTAAAATGTTAAACTAGGCCGGCGCAGTGGCTTATGCCTGTAATCCCAGAAATTTGGGCGGGCAAAGTGGGCAGATCACCCGAAGTCAGGAGTTTGAGAGCAGCCTGGACAACATGGGAAAACCCTAACTTTACTGAAAATACAAAAAAAAAAAAAAAAAAAAAATTAGCCAAGTGTGCTGGCATGTGCCTGTAATCTCAGCTACCTGGGAAGTTGAGACAGGAATCGCTTGAACCCTGGAGGCGGAGGTTGCAGTGAGCCAACAAGGCGCCATTGCATTCCAGCATGGGTGATAGAGTGAGACAACATCTTATTCAACTAGGTTTGCGTTCCTTGTTATATATTCTAACCCATAATTTAATATATATTCTTAATATAACTTGATATATATTCTAACCCATGGCTTACCGCTTCACAACTCCTGAGCCTCCTGTGTTGTGAATATTCAGCCCATGTGATTTTTATGTATCACCCTCACTCCCCTTCAGTTGTTGCCGCCTTCAACTAAAATACTGTCATCTAATCTCATGGCGCCACCTGGTGGCAAATCTTGGACATTTCTGACGTCTCTTCACCTTTCTTTCCCTATTAGGGAAACTCGTACATGCAGTTTTCTCCTTCAGTTCTGTTCCTTCTTTTGTGCCTTTCATCTATTAACTTTACTCCCAAATCCTCCTTTCTCATGCTCTCCTAAATTTTCTCATTATGTTCATGAAAAGTAATTCTCTTCCTTTGCTTTCTCTGCCCCTTTATGAGTCTAAATCTACATGAATAGTACTACTAGTTAATCACAGTGAGAACACTACTACTAGTGACAATGGCAAAACTACAGCTATACATTTTGAAAGGACTTTTTGTTGTTGTTTTGTTTGTTTGTTTGTTTGTTTTTGAGATGGGAGTTTCACTCTTGTTGCCCAGGCTGGAGTGCAATGGTGCGATCTCGGCTCACTGCAACCTCCATCTCCCAGGTTCAAGTGATTCTCCTACCTCAGCCTCCCGAGTAGCTGTGATAACAGGCATGCACTACCATGCCCGGTAATTTTTGTATTTTTAGTAGAGACGGGGTTTCACCATGTCGGTTAGGCTGGTCTCGAACTCCCAACCTCAGGTGATCTGCCCGCCTCGGCCTCCCAAAGTGCTGGAATTACAGACGTGAGCCACCACGTCTGGCCTGAAATGACATTTCATACAATAAAATGCCAGCCAGACTAACCTTCAAAGTCCTTGAAAACAGTTAAAATTCCCTTTAAAATGTTCTTAAATTTCAGGTACTATTGAACCATCTAATTATTTCTGCCCAAGTTAACATCAAGCTCACGTATTAAAGAAGAATTATAAAACTGTTAATAAATGTCATTGTTTCTATGTTCCTTAATTACAACCTTTGATAAATTTGGAGTTTCTACTTATTTTACTGCAAAGACTCAGTTTTTCATTATGAGTTACATTGCCTAGAAACAGAATCGCTGTTCATGACGTGGTTTCCATGGGAAACAGCCCACCACAGCTGCCCTTTTGGTACATAACTCATTTGTAAGATAGAGATTGCTAGTAACTGCATTTCTAATTGTTTTACTCACAAGGTTAGAAAATACTGTAACCAGCATTCTTCCCAGTCAGGGAAATGACTCATGGATAAGCTTGGCCAGTTTAGCAGTTTCTTCGTTAAGTTAATTCTGACTTTGTTTTATCTCTAAGGGATATATCGGAGAATGGCAGGTAAGTCAGCTGAGGAAGACAGACCAGAGAGAGTAGGGCTGAAATTGACCTCTTTAATTCCTGCAATGCCAACGTGTCTGCAGAGGAGGTAGTTTTCATGGTTTGTCTTAACCTATCCAGTCTTTTAGTAGGCAGGTACTGAGTATTTGCTTATTCAAAAACATAGCAACTATTGATTTCAGAGTAGGCACTACAAAGTATTTTGGACCCATTACTCTGGTTGCTGCCTGAAAATAACAATGTCTAGATTAATCAAAAGAGAACTTCAAATAAAATATAAAATCTGGTAGAACGCATAACTGAATGACATGAAGTTCTGATGTTTATGGCTTTAAGACAAGACCTATTATTGTAAATAATAGGTCTTATTATTGAAAGAAACTAGTTAGCTTGTGTAGAGTTGCTGCACTATTTGAAGTCTAGCATCTATTTAAAAGGAAGGTTTAAAGTTATTCTTATTTCCACATTCTAATCGTGGAGTTTCAAAGGTGGACTGGAAAATAAAAAAGAAGCTAAAGATTAGGCAGACAGTTTGACAATAACAGCCCTTACATAATCCAGGCTGACAAGGGCACCCTGATATTACAGTGTGCTGAGCAAGTAGTCAACCTGCCCATTCAGTTTCCTACTGTGTTTTTTTGCTAAATGCTTTCTAACCTCTTAATGTCTCTTTTGAAAGGTGGGGACCCAAACTGTATGCATTGTTCCAGATGCGCTCTTGCCAAAGCAGCATAAAGCAAATGTAACCCTTAGGAAGAAGGCTCCCTCCCTCACTAGGTAAGTACAACCGGCAGCTGTGGCCAGGGCCAGCCCACTTGCCCGCTAGACCTGCCATACCTTCCACTGCCAGGATGCTGGTGGGACCTCATAAAACTGAACCTGCTAATCCACAGGACCTGTGGGTTTCAAGTCAAAGGAACTGATCAAGAGCAATCTCTGTCTTTACAGCCTCTGATTCCATCCCCTCCAAGTTCTTTCTCAATAGTTTGCATCTATTGGGCTCTTTGCCAATCAAGAACATCATCCTCCAATTTAATAATTTTGAGGTCAGCTAGAATTTATTAAAATGATGTTTTACCTGTAATCTTGGGAGCGGATTGGACCTGCTACTTTAGAGCATTCTCTTACCTTTAGAAAGAGCCCTCTTGAGCATTAAGAATGAAAGTATTATAGTGCAGGTTCTCATATGACACTTGTGTTCTGCTGGGAGGTTTTTCTTATTTTTTAGAAAAACATATTCAGGCCTGGCACGGTTGCTCATGCCTAGAATCCCAGCACTTTAAGAGGTGTAGGCAGGTGGATCACCTGAGGTTAGGAGTTCGAGACCAGCCTGGCCAACATGGTGAAACCACATCTCTACTAAAAATACAAAAAAAAAGTAGCCAGGCGTGATGGTGCATGCCTGTAGTTCCAGCTACTTTGGAGACTGAGGCAGGAGAATTGCTTGAATCCGGGAGGCACAGGTTGCAGTGAGCTGAGATGGTGCCACTGCACTCCATCCTGGATGATAGAGTGATTCAAAAAAAAAAGAAAAAAGACATATTGAGATTTACTTTAAAATGAAGTTCCGTACATACACATTGAGTAGAACAGTGGTCCCCAACCTTTTTGCACCAAAGACTGGTTTCATGGAAGACAAATTTTCCATGGGCTGGGAATGGGGTTGGGAGGTGGAGGGGATGGTTTTGGGGTAAAACTCCTTCACCTCAAATCATCAGGCATTAGATTCCCATAAGGAGCGTGCAACATGGAACCCTCGCATGCGCAGTTCACAATAGGGTTCGCTCCTTTGAGAATCTGATGCCGCTGCTGATCTGACAAGAGGTGGAGCTCAGGCCGTGATGCTTGTTCACCGCTCAGCTTCTGCTGTGCCACCTGGTTCCTAACAGGCCACACCAGTACTGGTCTTCGGCCCAGGGGTTGGGGATTCCTGGAGTAGAAGAAGTAAAGAATTGGTTCATAAGCTAGGTTAATGTAGTACTATGTACTGACCTCGATTTGGTAATATTTAAAAATCATTTTTTCAATATGATTACCATAACAGGTTGTTTTTAAATTCCTTTTTTTTTTTTTTGGCAGAGACTATTTGACTCATCCCATTTCTGAATAAAACCACAGCAATGTTGTTTATGTTGTAAATCTCGAGTTCCCCCAACTTGCTGGTTAAGCCTCCCAAAGTTCTCTAAACCGCCTTCTAGCTAAATGTCAGTATATTTGAGATAATACTTAAAAATGTAGAACCAATGTTCTTTTTAGAAATACGATGTTTTTAGACTTATTTATGTGGCAAAAAATGGTCACATGTGTTATTTAAGGTGGAGAACTTTTAGAAGCAATTTGCTCCTTTGGCCTTGAATTGGGCCTGCTCTGAAATGAGTTTAAGGTCATGCAAGATTCTCTCTGATATGTCATGACATTACCAAAACACTTTCATTGTTTCAAAGTCCACTTGAAACGCTACGACACATCCATCATCACTTGCTCTCACTCGCTTCGAAAGGAGTCTAGCTGAGAATCCAGCTGGTCTCATTTCTGATCTTTGAGCTGAAATCCTGGGTTAAAGCACATTCTTAATGTGCCATAGATTACTGTAAACAATACTCTTCTTAGCTATTTATCTTTAGCCATTTCTTCCAGTGCAGAAATTCATTGATGTAACTCTTGCCATTTTGTTTGTCGATTAGTAAAACTCCCCAAAGTAAAATCTACCTGATCTTCTATAATTTTTCCTCCTTGATTTTCATCTGTTAATGTTCTTTTTAGAGCAAATCCTTTGAGTGAGTTTGACTCTGAGCTATTGTCGTCAGAAGCAGGAAAAGAAAGCTTCTGCATGAAAAGTCAAGATCTAATGACAGAAAGAGATTTTGAATTATCTAGCCATGAATTTATGAAGGGATCTGCAGAACTGGTGATTGCCACATCCTCCAGCTTGAGGTATCACATAGCTGGCAGCCTTGGAAGAACTGCTGGGCCCCTCCAGAGTTGATTATAAAGTTATTGACCCAAGAGAAAGAACAGAGACTCTGAGTGATGTTCTGGTCCTTCCCCCACTGCCCCCAGGGCTTCTCCACAGCACTGTCATCCTATCTTCCTCGTGACTAGGGGCCTGTAGGATTATGGTGACATTAAGGAATTAAAGGTGACATCTAAAGCCATGGACAGGCCAGGCGCTATGGCTCATGCCTATAATCCCAGCACTTTTAGAGACTGAGGCAGGTGAGTTGCATGAACTCAGCAGTTTGAGACCAGCCAGGGCAACATGGTAAAACCTTGGCTCTACAAAAAATACAAAACATTATCTGGGCATAGGGGCGCATGCCTGTGGTCCCAGCTACTCATGAGGCTGAGGTGGAAGAATTGCTTAAGCCCAGAAGGTTGAGGCTGCAGTGAGCCAAGATCATACACCTGCACTCAATCCTGGGTGACAGCGCGACCCTGTCTCAAAAATAAAATAAAGCCATGAACAAGATAGAACTGACTGGTTTCCTCATGGATAGATCCCTATAGCCTTGGGACCAGACTGTACCCAAATTGCTAATCAACTCCAAAGGCTGGCACAGTGTGGTGTATTTAGACTCATGGGCTTTTTGCTCTCAACCTTCAGACCTTTCTCTCAGGCTCTGGGCTGATTTTAGCTGAGGAGACCAGATTAGACCCAGTCTGCAGGTCCTCCCTCTTGGATCCCCGAGGTGGGAAGGGGCCTGAGGTGTGTCAGATGGAGCTGGTATAAATAAGATGAACTCATTCCCTAAGCACACACGCCCCGTGGCTGCTCAACAATTTCTCTTAGGATTTACGTCACTAAGGTGTATGTGACTGTGACGTGAAAGAGTGAGTGTTTATACCATGATCTTACATCCACATCATAATTCTGGATCAGAACATTGCAAAATCTATATGTTAGACTCCTTTTGCGGCCAAAAGTAATTCTAGCCAGGCTGAGGTCAGAGTGTAGAGTTTGTGGACGCACCTTTATTTTGGTGCAATCTGTACATCATTGCATTTCCTCAGTGGCATTCCATTCCCCTTCATCACTCAACCATCAACTAACCGTGACTAAATGTTAACTTACAAAATGTGGAAAGACATTCAGGGTCATGCCTTTTCAACTGAATGCTGATAATACGAGTATTCGAGAGTTTTCTTCTTTCTTGCCTGACTTTCCTATTCACTTTCTGTGTCTTCATGCAGGCCTCTGGCTACTGACATACGGGCAGCTTTAGGATAAGGACATACCTGGTGTTCTGAATGTGTGTATCCCCCAAAGTCTGCAATCTCAGCTGGAACTGGATGGACCAGTATTCCCTCACCCAGGGCCCTGGCTCATGTTTCTCTCCTCTTCTCAGTTTACTGTTGGACTTCCCTTTCTTGCTATTCTCTTTCTCTCCAAACCCCTCTCAATTGCCTTTCCTAAAGACAGACCTTAGCAAGATGGCCCGGGACTTGGGACTTCGCACGGCACCCTGCAGTCCCAAGCCACCATCTACTGCACCCCATCTTCAAGACTCTATCCCCCAAACAGATGCTGGAAGGCATCAGCTTCTGAGAACCCACTTCTTTCTGCATGACTAGCTTGTATGGAAGAATCTATGGAGAGGATTTCCAAGAATTTCCCACTTTTTCAAAAAATGTATGTGACTTATATTTGGCTTCAATCCAAGAGCAAACTCAGTGGTGAACAGCTCCATTTCTGTGCACATGTTGGTGGAATCTACAGAAATCGATGCAACATTTCTTTCCTGTCTAGGCTGTTTGTATAATTGTATATAAATGTAGCAATAAATATATTCTACCATCAGCCTGAGCCTTACTGCACACTTGATTCTGCATCCTGGTGGTAGGCGGTGAGTATCGCTTGCCTGCCCCACTTCAGGTTCCCATCTTCTCTGATTTCACAGTTACTTCAGACCTGGCCAGTATTTGGAGAAAGAGCGTTGAGGAGAGTTCAGTGGCAGAGCTGGGATGTGAAGCAGCATTATTAATTCATAAGATGGCACTAGTCCTAGCACTTTGAGGTGTTTTGAATGTCCAAGGAGTGAAGCTTAGAGGATTGGGTGACAGTTTGTGACACGAGTCAGCAGCATTAACAGTCACTCTGGCCGGACGCAGTGGCTCACGCCTGTAATCCCAGCACTTTGGGAGGCTGAGGTGGGCGGGTCATGCGGTCAAGAGAGCAAGACCATCCTGGCCAACATGGTGAAACCCTGTCTCTACTAAAAATATAAAAATTAGCTGGGCATGGTGGTGCGTGCCTATAGTCCCAGCTACTTGGGAGGCTGAGGCAGGAGAATCGCTTGAACCCGGGAGGTGGAGGTTGCAGTGAGCTGAAATGACACCACTACGCCCCAATCTGGGTGACAAAGCGAGACTCTGTCTCAAAAAACAAAACAAAAAGCAAAAGTCACTCTTACAGCCTTCAAGAGCATGTTGTGCTGTGATTATTTGACTGGTACTTGCTGGGCACAAAGGTACCCCTTAAAGATTTTCAGAAAAACCCCACAAAATGTACCAACATGACATAGAATTTTGCATCTGTCACTGATGTTTTTCAAGGGTATTAAGTCTAGTTATTTTAGAGACAGCCTCCTCCTACAGGGGACACATAAACAAAATAACCTTTCACTAGGCAGATACAATATTGTTTGTCTAATATCAAGGAATATTTATTCCCAAAGTGGTCTCTTGTAATTTTCTTGTGAAATCTTTGGTTATCAGGCACTTTTATAACTTAAGGGATAACCACATAGTTGTGGTTTCTTATCAAATTATGGTTTCTCAGGCCTCTCCTTGATTATAAGTGGAAGTTGGCATAAAATCTTTCAGTCATAAGACCTGGGAATGCAATGAAACGAAAAGTTGTAATATCCAGCTGGGTGCAGTGACTCACCCCTGTAATCCCAGCACTTTGGGAGGCTGAGGTGGGCAGATCAGTCGAGGTCAGGAGTTCCAGACCAGCCTGGCCAACATGACAAAACCCCGTCTCTACTAAAAATACATAAATTAGCTGGGCATGGTGGCGGGTGCCTGTTGTCCCAGCTACTTGGGAGGCCGAGGCAGGAGAATCGCTTGAACGCGGGAGGCGGAGGTTACTGTGTGTCAGGATTGTGCCACTGCACTCCAGCCTATTGTTATCCCATGGCAGGGGCAAACAGCACTTGCGAGATTACTTTTTGTGTAATAAAAAATATAGTCTGAAGAGAGTTGAGGAAAATCATCTGTCAAGCTCTTTAAAACATTGAACAAGTAACTCTGAACAATTGTGCCACGTCTGTTCTTATTCTCACCTTTTAATGGATACATTAGAGAACCTGAGCCTTCAGGTCAAAAGATAAAGAGGGCACAGTGTGGGCCGCTGCCTTCAACAGCTAATTCCTGTGCAATGCACTGGGCAAAAACCTTTTCTACACATGGCTTTTTCTAGCCAGGACTGGTGATACGAAGGGACATTATTAGAAAATACATGGGACAAATTACCAATTGCTTCGGTTTATAGTGCGGTAAGAGAGAATCCCAATTAGAGATAATGCTGTGTAATCAAAAGTTTAGTTTATGAGGCTGTGAGGGATTGAGAGTTTTCAGCCGGTGGGGGTTAAAACCTGGGCATTTGCTGCAGCTCTGCTACGAATTCGTAGTTGGAACTTGGACAAGTCACTCCAACTCTCAGGGCCTCCGATTCTTCTGCTGTAAAAATGAGGTGTTCGTACTCAATGATTTCTAAGGTTCTTTTTGCTCTTAGAGTCTCTTCTTCGGAAAAGGGAAAGGAGTAGCATAATTTTCATGTTAAAGGGGTGGGTCATTAGATGGCAAAAATGTGCAGTCGAGAGGAGAAAAGAGTTTATTTGGTTTTACAGTTTCAACATTTATTTTAGATTTAGGGTGTACATGTGTAGGTTTGTTAATGAATTTATTGCATGATGCTGAGGCTTGGAGTATAAATGATCCTGTCACCAGGGTAGTGAGCATAGTACCCAATAGGTAGTTTTTCAGCCCCTGCCCCTGACCCTCTCTCCCATCTCTAGTAGTCCCTAGAGTCTATTATTCCCATCTTAATGTCCATGTGTACTCAGTGTTTAGCTCCTACTTACAAGTGAAAACATATGGTATTTGGTTTTCTGTTTGTATGTTAATTTGCTGAGGTTAATGGCCTCTAGCTGCATTCATGTTGCTGTAAAGGACATGATCTCTTTATGGCTACATAGTATTCCATGGTCCATATGTACCATATTTTCTTTATCCAGTCCACTGTTGATGGGCACCTGGGTTGATTCCATATCTTTGCTATTGCGAGTACTGCTGTGGTGAATATATAAGTGCATGTGTCTTTTTGGTAGAGTGATTTCTTTTCCTTTGAATATATACCCAGTGATGGGATTACTGGGTCAAATCGTAGTTCTGTTTTAAGTTCTTTGAGCAATCTCCAAACTGTTTTCCACAGCGACTGAACTAATTTACCTTCCCACCAACAGTGTATAAGCATTCCCTTTCTCCACACCTAACGAGCATCTGTTGATTTTTTTTTTTTTTTTTTACTTTTCAATACCTAACCACTCAGACTAGTGTGAGGTGGTATCTCATTGTGGTTTTGATTTGCATTTCTCTGATGATTAGTGATGTGGAACATTTTTTCATGTTTGTCATTGCTTACATGTCTTCTTTTGAGAAGTGTCTGTTCATGTCCTCTGCCTACTTTTCAATGGAGTTATTTGTTCTTTGCTTCTTGAATGATTTAAAATTTTCAGAGACTCTGGATATTAAACCTTTGTCAGATGCATAGTTTGAGAATATTTTCTCCCATTCTGCAGATTGTCTACTTACTCTGTTGATAGTTTCTCTTGCTGTGCAGACGCTCTTTAGTTAAATTAGGTTCCACTTGTCAATTTTTGCTTTTGCTGCAATTGCTTTTGAGGACTTAGCCATAAATTCTTTGCTAGGGCCAATGAAGAGAAGAGCCATAAATTCTTTGCTAGGGCCAAGGTTGCAATTGCTTTTGTGGACTTAGCCATAAATTCTTTGCTAGGGCCAGGTTTTCTTCTAGAATTTTTATAATTTGAGGTCTTACATTTAAATCTTTAATCCAGCTTGAGTTACTTTTTGTATATGGTGAAAGGTAGTGGTCTAGTTTCATTCGTTTGCATGTGGATAGCCAGTTATCCCAACACCATTTATTAAATAGGGAGTCCTTTCCCCACCACTTATTTTTGTCAACTTTGTCAAAGATCAGATGGTTGTAGATGTGTAGCTTTATTTCTGGGTTCTCTACTGTGTTCCATTTGTCTGCGTGTCTGTTTCTATACTAATATCATGCTGTTTTGGTTATGGCAGCCTTGCAGTATAGTTTGAAGTTGGGTTATGTGATGCCTCTGGTTTTGTTCTTTTTGCTTTGGATTGCTTTGGCTATTTGAGCTCTTTCTTGGTTCAATATGAATTTTAGAATAGCTTCTTCTAATTCTGTGAAAAATGACCTTGTTAGTTTGATAGGGATAGTATTGAATCTGTAAATGGCTTTGGGCAGTAGGGCCATTTTAATAATACTGATTCTTCCTATCCATGAGCATGGAATGTTTTTCCCTTTATTTGAATCATCTACGATTTATTTTATTTTTTTTTTTTTTTTTTTGGAGGCAGAGTCTCCTCTGTCACCCAGGCTGGAGTGTAGTGGCATAATCTTGGCTCACTACAACCTCCATCTCCCAGGTTCGAGTGATTCTCCTGCCTCAGCCTCCTGAGTAGCTGGGACTACAGGCACACAGCACCACACCTGGCTAATTTTTGTAATTTTAGTAGAGATGGGGTTTTGCCATGTTGGCCAGGCTGGTCTTGAACTCATGATCTCAGGTGATTTACCTGCCTTGGCCTCCCAAAGTGCTAGGATTACAGGCATGAGCCACCTGAACAGGCAAAAGCTTTTTTTTGCATCTGTTAAGATAATAATATGGTTTTTTTTTAAATTTTGTTTATCTGGTGAATCATATTTATTGATTCGTGTATCTTAAACCAGCCTTGCATTCCAGTCATAAAGCCGACTTGATCATGGTGAATTAAGTGGGTTTGATTTGATGGTATTTTGTTTTGGATTTTGTGTCTGTGTTCATCAGGGATATTAATCTGTAGTTTTCTTTTTTTGTGTGTCTTTGCCAGGTGTTAGTATCAGGGTTGGGCTGGCTTCATAGAATGAGTTGGGGGGATTCCCTCTCCCTCTATTTTTGGGAATAGTTTCAGTAGAATTGGTATTAACTTTTCTTTGTACATCTGGTAGAATTCAGCTGTGAATCCATCTGGCCCAGAGCTTTTCTTGGCTGCTGGGATTTTTATTACTGATTCAATTTTGAAACTTGATACTGCTCTCTTCAGAGTTTTGATTTCTTCCTGATTCAATCTTGGGAGGTTATGTGTGCCCAAGAATTTATCCATTTCCTCTTGATTTTCTAGTTTGTGCTCACAGATGTGTTGATAATAATCTCTGAAGATCTTTTGTATTTCTGTGGGATCAGTTGTAATGTCACCTTTCTCATTTCTGATTGTGCTTATTTGCATATTCTCTCTTTCGTTTTCTGTTAATCCAGGTAGTGGTCTATTGATCACTTTTATTCTTTCAAATAACCAACTTTTGGTTTTATTGATCCTTTGTATGGATTTGTGGGTCTCAGTGTCAGTTCTGCTCTGATTTTAGTTATTTCTTTTCTCCTGCTAGGTTGAGGGTTAGTTTGTTCTCGTTTTTCT